TGTTTCAGAAAATATTTATTAATGTAAGTAAGAAACGAAAAACCTTGATATAAAACCTTGATTGGTTAACTTTTGAAAACCTGCAAGTCATGAATTTTTTTTATGAAAATATATTTTTTTGCACATTATGTATATTGATCAAACTGTACATACTATTGTATTTCTCATGCATCACGTGCTGCAGCTTCAGTATCATATCCTTGTTTTATATAAAAACACAAAATATGATTTTTTTTATAATTGAATATCTTTTCCTTTCAGAAAACATAATGCGATTATATATCTTGATAAAAATGCAAGAAAAAAGTGCCGAATGTCACTTAACAATTATGATAGACCATTAGATATTATCAATGTCCATTATTGTTGAATGTTGCAAACATTGTATCTTTAATTTTAATTTTTGATTTATGGTGAAAGTGCACTGACAAAGCTTTTTGCTCTGGAACGAATGGGAAAATAGCAGAAATAAGATTTAATTTACATATTCAATTCAATCGTATTAATTGTTGAGTTTTTGCCGAATTCGGAATATGATACCGATGGTTCTCTTCGCATTCCAAATAGATATAATCGATTGATGCACAATCATTAATGATGATCAAGATTTCAAAATTATTATGGTTGTGTATAACGCAACAATAAGATAAAAATTGACATTGATGATTTTTTTTAAATATTCTGACGATGATATAGTTTTAAACAATGTAATAGTAACAAATCTAGAATGTGTGTGCACATATAAATTGCACTTAGGAACGAGCTTTGAATTAAAATAGTTGTTTGCTGTTTGCTGACTCGATCTACCTCAGAATGAAACGCTATACCTATATGTATATATATATATATATATATATATATATACATATATACATATATATATATATGGGTTTAAGATGAAATAACGATTTATGAAAAGATTGTAATCGTGGCGTTACGATATATTGTTGTTTTAGAATTTTAGAAGAGAGGGGATGGATGTAATGACGATACATATATATCCTCTCTGTTCAATGTTTAGAATGATTGTACGTCGCGGTTAAATTACAATTATATTTTGCTAATTACTAATATGTATATATATATACATACATATATTTTAAATATACGCAAGATGTTAATCCATATTATATATGTACTAATATTTTTTTAATCAATTTTTTGTATGTAAAGTTGCGCAAATTATAGTGTTTACGAAAAAGTGTGGATATAGTCATATGATTATATATAGATATAAATAGAGATGTTGTATAATCCTTATCAAATCGTTATGCAGTCTAATTTATTGTTATGCGAGTTATCGTAAGAGTTTAGTTTGCTGTATGTTTAATGTCGGCAAGAGTTTAGTGTAATAGTGTAGCACGAGACGTCATTCCGATATCATCGTAGTCGCAAGACTGTACAAGAATTGGGTGTAATAAAAATATTTTTTCAGGATGTGCAATATACGCTCTCGTATATACGAAATGTCATTTTGTTATTTCGATAATTTTTTTTTTATGGGAATGTACTTGCGTATTGCGTTTATGCATTCGATGCTTCGAATGCGGTTGCATTAATGAATCGCTGCTGATAGAATAGACTCGCACTTTTTTGTTATTAAGGGTCGTTGACTATATGAAACGTGAAATTGGTATTTGGTGTGTAAACCTATTCCGGCATTAATTACATTAATCAAGTTATGGCGGTAAACGACTCGATGATAAGCGATTAATTTCATCAAAATGTAAAGACAAAGTTGGATTGTCGTTTTTATTCTAATAAAAAAATCTTGTGGACAGCAAAAACGGACTTTTTAACGAATAATTATTCATTAACACTTATAATATATATAAATAAAAGACTAAGATCCTGAGTTGGCTAAGCCTTTATTTTTTCGCGAAGTCCTAAAAAAATGATACGGCACTGTTTATATATATATATATATAGATCATTATATTATATTTTGATAATTTTTGCTGAAATTATTACAAGTTATATTTATGATGAAAGAAGAAAGAGAGATTTTGCGTCTATAAATTAATTAAAATCAATGCAAGCAAAATAAACAATGTGAAAAATATATATACACAATTCTATAAAATTCTATAGAATATAAAATACTATAGAAATTTATAGAATATAATATACACATATACTTCTCTATAGAATTATATGTTAAATGCATAGGATTCCGTATCTAAAAAATAGTAATATTGAATATAAAAAGAAAAAGAAAACGCGCTAACGAGAGCGAAGCGCAAAAAACAGGATGTGAATATATATATTTTCGCGCTCTTTATTCTGTGTTTGGCACAGTTCTAATTAGTTTATTTTGTTTTCTTCTTGTTTTTGTATTATTTATTAGATCTTCGCATTCTACTTTTTTGCTTAATGATAACAATAAAATCTCATCTGATTGCATTTGTTATTGACATCATACAATATTTTTTTAGAAGCAAGATTCGAATTAATTTATATTTCGAATTAATTCTAGCATATGAGCGGTATCAAAAAATATTAATATATTATAATGATCAGTTGGATGTAAAAAAAAATAAATATTACAAATGTTTGCATTTAAATGTTCACATATGCTAATATTAGATGTAAGTCCGTCAAAATAAGTTAATGCGATGACTTTTGAACCCTAGAATAAGGAGCTATAAAACAAAGAACTTTTTTTGTAATTTCAGCTCGTTCTTCAGAAATAAGCCCATTAACTAAAAAGTATGCTACTGGTAGTTTCCACTTTTCATTTATACCAGTTAACAAATATACCATGAGTCAACAAATAAAATAGACTGGAGTCTAAAATGTGAGTCGGTTGATCCAGTCAGTCGGCGCCGACACCACAGTGATCTAGAATTTAAAAAAGTTGGCCAAAAATATATATCTTTATTGTAGTATAACAACACTATGTACATATATGTTTTTGAGATGGCTGTTTACGATAAGAAAGTTTATATACACGGTCCTAAAGAACGTCGAAAAAAGTGGACGCTCAAGCTACGATGATGTACACCGTTCGCGATAAATCTACCCCCACTACCGATACATTCACCCTGTTCTTCTTTACGTAATGGGCTTCTCTCTCTGGTATTATCAATTAAAAGCTAAAACGGAACAGTCTACAAGTAATACGTCACGTGACATTTCTAAAAGATTGTAATCGTAAGAAATAAATTTCCGAGTACATATTTTTTTTTTTTATTAATGGGCACATTTGTATGAGCGACTTTGAAATTGGCGATTTTGCAGAAACGCCGAAGGTGAGAAAAATAATCGTCGAAAAGCGATCTTGATCATCTTCGGATAAATTGTTCGTGACGTAACAGCACGGCGCGCTGCGTCAACATAAAATTCGCTTTGTTATTATTTACGTCAATTGGAGCAACTCGTCGAGTCGGTTAAAAGGTTATGTTGCACTGTAATTTCGCCAAGATTGCTTTCTCTTAGCGTCAGAACTATCGGAGTGCTTTTCATTAAGGCGTTCTCACTTGCTCATGGGATTTATTGACGATGAATTGCAAGAAGTATCTCAGCTCTGTCACAATGTTGTTGATGGAAGTCGCCTCGTCTCTTGCGTGCGGAGCATGGTCCGCGTCGAAATAACGTAATAAAACTCTACTCTTGCGCCTTTGTCGCATCTCAGATCAAAATCGTTTTGTTCTTATTGCGATTACTTTCATCATTGGCTTTCTTATTTCAGGAAAACATTGTTCAAGCAACTCGTTGTGTGCATCCAATTCCGAGAAGATTATCCCGCGTCACCGCTGTTTCTCGAATTAAAAAGTAAAACTCTATCTACAAAGCTGCTCAATGGACTAGCAGAAGTTTGTGAAAAGGAGTGCAAGCGTTTATTGAACAAAACACAGGTCCCTACATTTATATTTATATCCAACAATTTGTTACATATAAAATTTATATTGTCTCATAAATTCTCTTTTATACTGATAGGTATTGCCAATTTTAAAGTTTATCAGAAATTTTATTGAAGAGAATCCGCTTATCTGTTGCTACGACGAAATATCAACAATAAAAAAACTTCTGGGGGACAAAGACGAGTTAAAATTGAAGCAGAAGAATTCTTATATTTGTTTAAAATTATACCAAAATTTATATAATTTTAAGACCAAGCTTGACATTCCGGATAATTATCCCATCAATTGCGTGACGTATGTTTAATTTTCTTCTATAAAATTCACGCAGTAAATTAAGATTTAATGTCACTAATTTTTACATTATTTATTTGCAGGTTTAGTGATGTTGATACAAATTTTCCACCATTGTTTAAGCGTTATTTAGTTGGACAAGGAAGAGAATTAGCAAGACAATGTATCGAGTCACCATTGAAGAAACAAGCCCAACAGAAACCATTCACTCCAAAACCATCATTAAACACAATTGCTTCCTTCCTCATAAAGTAATTCTTATTCTTACATCAGTATACTTTTAGTTATTATAGCTTTTTTTAATTTCATGATTTAACTTGTGCAGAACTGTAAAAGCTTTTCCACAAGAGTCTTGCCAACATTGCAAAGTAATATGCTTGCCAGCAAACCCAGAAGAGGTTGTAACCGACGAAAATGCGGATTTCCACGCCGAAAGACTTTACTGTGGTCATCTCTTCCACTTAAAATGTCTCGTGACATACATGAAGACTCCGCCATTCCATGGTAAAATAAGAATTTTATTTAAATATCAAATTGTTGCATTAAAAGATTAAAAAAATTCTTTTATTATTATTATTATTATTTTTTTGTTATAGGGGGTAAGAAATGTCCAAGTTGCAACCAACGTGTGTATCATGACAAATGGGGATTAAGTGACAAGCTCGCAGAAGCTCGCTGGGCTCATCAACAGGCACGAGCAAGAGAGTTAGCAGAAGTTGAAGATTTTTTCAGCTAAAAAAATCCTGTATCAACAGACACTTGTGCTGTGAGTTTCATGATACTTTACTAAAAACGCGGTATGGTAAATGAAACCATATAAAACATGGCAACTGACATTTTGAGAAAAAATAAAATGCTTAATAAGAATGAAAGTATAAAAGAGAAAGAATTCTGCCACTAAAAAGAAAAATTATTGTTATGATTTAACGAAATTGTACTATTTTAGAATATTGTACCACATTTATTAAAGCAGAAGGCAAATAACGTTGAAAAAAAGTTTCTTTTTTTTAAATATATAACGATACTTACATCTATTTCCAAATAGAAAAATGTCAGTTACCAATTTTATCTTTGCATCAAGAAAGTAAGAATGAAAGAAAGTATCATTGTGAATAGCAAATGGGCATTAATCACAGTGGGCTTAAAATAGTTGATAAGAATATTTTTTACGCGTGCTAAATGTATCAGCATAGCATTATTTTTATATCTTTAGGTTACTTTATGTAAAAATAATATTTATATACATACACACATTATGCTTCCATTTCTTTTTTTTTTTAATTTTGTTTAGCAGTTATAACTCAAGATTATTTGCCAGTCAATAATTTATAACTTAGATTTATAATTTGAATGTTTAATCTCGGAAATTCTTACCATAAAGTTGACGTACATTTTTTAAAAAACGTAGTTTTAAGTGATGCAATTGAAAATGATTTTAATAAAAAAAAAAGCTGAAAGATGACAGATGAATTATAGGAAAGAGAGATTGCCGATATACAACTTTTATTAAAAACTTTCTTCTAATCACAATTAAAGATTATAGCTTGCAATAATAACGAACAAAAGTAAATTAGACAGTTTTTTTGGAAATCTATCTCGTTACATTATCACATATAAAAAAAGAAAATCTTTTTAATAAATAAAAAATTTATCTATATCTTACGGCAATACACAAATATCGCAAGTATTCATCGTAAAACCAACTATAATAAAAAAATTTATATATATAGGAATAAATTTTATAAATTTGGGAAAGAGAGGCTGTGCGTGTGTCGGTTTCCGATGCATTTCGTATCTTATAAATGTAGTAACGCATACTTTTTGATCTCACGACGATCGATCTTTTGTATCATGTATAGGAGGCAAGTCAACTCGTTTTCGGTGATGCGTGCATATGATTATATAATATATAATTTGCAGAAATTATTTCACAAAGCAGAGTGTGATGGTCAGTATGGGCGCAGTCTCGCATGTATGCACAAATAGTTGTGACCGTGTTCGTGACGTATTGATCCTCGGTACCGTATAGTGACATTGTCTCCGTCTCCCTTTCTCTCCTCCTCTCAGACTGGCCTCTTGTGCGGGCACATTTTCGTTTGTTCTGCCGCGTTTACTTTGCTACCCCTACTCTGGCGTCTAATGTTCTTTACGCGTGTGTTCATCGTGGGTGCAGTATCTTCGGGCGCATATGGTATATTAGAGCAAGCGAGAATAAAAAAGAAAGAAAAGGGGATATAGGGGGGTTCACATTGATGAACCACTGAGAATAGGTTCAAGATTGTTTCTCTTCGGATTTTTTAATAAATTTCAAATATTTGGTAAGATATCTCTAGAAACAAGAGATACATATTTTTGTATGTGCGCCTTAACGCGAGGGGTGATTTAAAGTTTAAAGCAGCTTCTCGTAATTAACTCGATATATTTTAATCTAACTGTATTGTCAAAATTATAGAATTTATGAGAAATGATTCAAACAAAAATGCATACTATTAGAAGTATTTTATAATTATAATATTTAGCAGAGAAGCTATATTTTTTTCAAAAATTGAAAGCTTTGCCAAATTCATAGCTGAGAGAATAGTTTTTAAATATTTTATTTCGCTGAATTATCGATTATCCGCAGAGATATAGAAAAACAAGCATAATTAAGTCGTTTTTTTTCCCAATTAAATATGCATAATAATTTTTAGCTAATTAGTATTCTTATATTTAAAGTTGTCTTATAAATATTTGTTTTTATCTTTTTTTTTTTTAAATATGATCACTTGAATTAATCGTGCATTGCTCGTTGAATTGAATTAATCACACATTCCGAAAAATATCTTGAATTTATTAATTTATAATTTTTCTCTTGGAAGGATTCCTCAGCATCATTATTATCACTTAAAGCTACAATTTATTTATTACACATCCCAATATTTTTTCTATTAATAACAATAATATTGATGATGAAGAGGAAATACCCCTATTAAAAAAATCATTATCTTTATCTTTTATACAAAAAGCGTTATGAATAAAAACGAACTTTTGGTATTATAGTCGGAAAAAAATGATAAATAAAATAGTCGACTGTTTTTCTCGATATTTGCAACAGTAATAAATGGAACTCGCGTGAATATGTCGATTCCCAAGGGCGATCGACTAAATTTTTCTCCCGCCGCGTGTTCGCATTTAGTTCTGGGAGACAGCCAGGCAGACTAATTCCCAGTTATCGATTCCACGCATACGTAGAAACGTATGCTCGCGTCGTACTCATGTAGGGCGGACTCTCACGGACAGTTCCTTACACCTGACCTGATCGAGACGCATCATGATGATGAGTTAAACAAATCTGCCTCTTCGTGGTCTCACGTAATACGACGAGCACGAGAACCTTTCTCCGCGATTGTGAGAGAAGAGCGGCGTATAAAACGACATTAACGTTGTTTGTATTGTTGAAAAGATTTCTGGGTCGATGGGTACATATCGCGAAGAGAAACGTGACCGCAAATTTCACATGTCACGTGCAATTTCGTTATTGCAGCAGCGTTATTAGTTCACGTTTGTGCTCGCATTAGGGTCGATTCCGGTCATATACCTATCTATGTGTTTGATTGTTCACCGGCTACGGGTTTGCGAGCGATTGCGAGGGGTTTCCTCGGTATATGCACCTGGAGTCGTTCACACCGATTTATCTCGCGCTAAGAATAGCCCAGTATTTCTTTTCCATACACAATTGTACAGAGATATATTAATATAACATTTTTTAATGTCAGTATAAAGATTAAATAATATATTAACAACATCGCACTAACTTATCATGTATAGAAGCATAAATGCATTAAAATTATGAAATAATCGGGAGCAATTTTAAAATATAGTTAATTAGTTTGCAATGTTCATATTCGTCAGAAACTATTGTGACTGAATACGATCGATTATCGATTTAACGAATACTTTAAACGACAATAACGGGCGCCGACGAGCGTAGTTAACGTAATCGAATAGTTGCGTAATCAATCCAGAGCTTATACAGGTGATGCATAAATCCCGCGAATCGTTCTTGCGAAGCAAGAGTAATACATCTTCCTGGTTCCTGGTGTGGCGAAGCAAATCGGCGTATTATATACACGATACACCTAATAATTGCACAGCTTCGCCGTAACGCTTTGCGGATCGATAGCCGGGAAATGGCCGGAAGCCAAGTCCGACGACGATGTCGTTTCAAGTTTTACCATTGTCACAGTGCGTAGGAGAGGGAGTGCTAACCCCTTTCGCGAGTGTCCCACTTATGTATCAGTAACCCCCGACGCACAATTCTCCTCCGCCCGCCTCGCGACTGTCTCTTAAGAGGACGATCGGAATGCTTTTCGTCCTCCGGATTAAAATGCGGTCCACTTTAAAAATGATGCCGAAATCTGGCTCGTTCATACTCAATCGCCGCAGATATTAAATTGTTCACGGATATTCTCTAAGAGACACGTATTCGCACGTTTTGATACATTCTTTTTCGCGAGGATGTTGCAACTAGATGTCCGAGTAAATTTCGTCAATCTTCTCTGATACCTTTGAAGGAAAGTTTGTCAGTTCGAGCTTATTATTAATATGAAGATGTATCCGGATTTTATCGAAATGTTTCAGATTCCCGAATTCCAAATAAATAGCCTTCTATTTATAAATGAATACTTATTATTGTAATACATTGTTAGCATAAGTATATTTTTACGGTAAAAACAGGAAATTTATGCAATCCCACTTTTGACAATGCGGGTACATGTGAATCGCGAGAAAACACGATTTTTTAGTAATTGAACGTACTTTCTCGGATGATGTAGCAATTATTAGAGCTTAAATAGTTCGCGATTTATATTGTATAGTTAACAATTGTATAAAATGAACAGCTTATCAGATATATATAAGCATCCTGGATTTGAAAGGAATGGAAAGGAGATATATATCAGGTCTACCGGAAAGTTCTGTCCGTTTTTGGAATAAAACAAAATACAAATTTTTATTACCGTCAATAAACTTTATTAAATAATGTAATTGCAATTATTATTAATGATTTCTTGCCAGCGTGAGGGCAATTTGCATATCCCATTTTCGAAAAATGTTTTATCTTTTGATACGAAAAATTGAACCAGTGCTTGTTTGATATCTTCTTCATTTTTGAATTTTTTGCCCCTCAAAAAATTTTGTAAGGACAAAAACAAATGATAGTCGGAGGGTGCTAAGTCCGGGGAATATGGTGGATGCGACAGAATTCCCCAGCCTAGTTCTGCAATTTTTTGACGAGTCCCCAAAGCAGCATGTGGCCTAGCATTATCATGATGCAGTATGATGTTCCTCCTATTGAACATCGCCGGCCTCTTTTCTTGGACTGCTGTATTTAAATTATCCAGTTGCTGACAATACTTCTCCGAATAATGGCAATTACATTATTTAATAAAGTTTATTGACGGTAATAAAAATTTGTATTTTGTTTTATTCCAAAAACGGACAGAACTTTCCGGTAGACCTAATATATCGCTTGTATATTGCAAGGAACGTTTCTTACACTAGCAATCGAAAAGTCGACGGCTGTAAAAGTTGAAAGAAAGAAACAGACATTGTGGCGCGTGCCTAAGGATAATCTAAGGGTATCTCACTGAGAGCATTTCTTTTGGAAAGATTGCTTCGCGTGACACCAAAATTCACGCATTTCTTTCAACGCGAACAACAGTCTGATCCTCGTCGTACCCCGAGGAGATATTTCGGAATAACGGTACCGTAAATGATGCGTGAAAGCAGCTGTCCTTCTTCGAGTTCTCCGTCCTCAACTACAATGATCTATTTTTATTTACTTTAAAAATACGACGCAAGAAAAATCATTTGCAGAATAATTAATGTTAATAAAGACGAGAAGCCAAACTAAATTAACGTTGGAACATTAATTATCGTCGAATAGAAAAATGATAATTTTTTTTGTATTAAAAAAAAATACATATAAAACATCAAAAGTAAGAAATAAAATGGAGAAAAATTTCATTATAATGTGTGTAATTTCATCGCATAATATTTGTAATATTTGCCGCAACTGTCCATCACAATCGTAGTCCATCTCGCATCTGTTTCTACACTGCTCCTCTCCGCTTCCCTTCCTGCAAAAACCAATTTTCCGTTTGAAAATGGGAACTGCAATCTCTTGGTTACTTCGCGAAAAGGGGAATGTTGATCTATAAGTGCGTCTCTATATGTACGAAGATCAATCATGAGTGGCGGAACCACTCGCCAAAGAGAGGACAAAAGAGGAAAGAAGAGGGTGGCGTAAACGAGGGAGAAAGATGGCCTACACGTAGATCCGCGGGGTCCCGCAACAACAAGTTGCAGCCACCTGGCGAGGGTGATACCGGCCACGCGGTGGATTACCCTCCAGGTGCTCCCCCTGCGAAACCCCCTGCTTCGCGCTGCGTGTGCCTGCTGGTCGACGACGACGATGCCGCCGACGCCGTCGTAACGTGGTCCGTGGACGAAGCAACACGAAGGCAGGATACGCACGTAATAACGAGGAACCGCCGGCGTCTCAAAGAGCAAGGCGCGCGATATCGCGTTCGTTCGGGGACACGCGCGAATCGACCACGTCCCGAAATCGATACGCACATCTGCCGCAACGGAGGAGTCTATTGACTCCCGCCGGCACGACGGTGGTCCTATGCGCATTTTGGAAGCCCGATTTTAGCCGGGAAATGCAATTGCCACTGCGAAAGTTAAGAATAATTTGTATAATGTATCGGAGTATTTGTTCTTTTTTTTTTCAGCTGCCAAGCTATTATTTGATATTTTGTAATCGTTCAACGTCAGGTATTAATGTTATTAACTCAATTAAGAATCGGAATTTGTGTGGACGAAAATATAATATCCCAATATAAATAGAAGCTATATAGAAAGAAAAGATTATTCTTCTTTCACAAATACACATAAATCAACTTTTACAGAAATTGTTATTTGACTTTGCTTATGATTAAGTACTCAGCTCAATTATAAATCAGATATTCTATAGTTTATTCTTTCCTTGTGAGAAGTACAAATTAAAGAGAAATGTAAAATTTACCACAATTGCTTGTGATATGCTTGCTGGCAATGTTTCACGGAATCAAGAATTTTCGGTTAAAGATAACATTCTTGTTAGTTCGAAAGCACTTTGCAAACAGTAGTTTTTATACGCACAGCAGAAAAGAATCTTGCCAAAAATACGCGAAACAATAAAAGGGGATCGATACGGTAGACCACAAGGATCGCCAAATAAGATAATAGTTATCAGATACAGATAATAATAACTTAACAATTTTTAAGTATTTATATACATATATTACAAAGTAATGCACATATAAAAATTTGCAACATGACTGTTAAGTAAAAGAGATGTGTAGACATAAAAAAAAATTCTACTTATTTTACTTTTAATATATTATTCTGTGCGTCGCATGATTAACTGAAAATTTTTAAAATATAAATTATCTGAAATGTGAAAATTAACATACAAGTAGAAACATCCTATGTACAGATTCGTCGTAGCAGCACATGCAATCGTGTCAAAGTCAAAATGCAGTTACATTATATTCTCCACTCGACGTTCTGTTACCTCGTACAGGGTTGCTATAGTTTCAGAAAATCCTATCGACGCATTTACCTATATGCATATTCACGTAATGTGATAAAAATGAAAAGAAAAACTTGTCCGCAAAGTCTGGATTCGATATATATATATATATATATTACCGGTCGGCATATATTACTCTTTACCCGCATACGCGCGCATTATTTATTTTATGAAAAAATGAAAAAAGAAAGAGGGTCGTTTGTCATTTATTATCTCTAAATGTATCTAAGCCTAAGCTAACCATATACAGGATAATCCTGAATTCACGCGTTCGAGAAATCTGTAATTTAAGAAAAAAAAATGCACGATTTGTACGATACATCCCCTCTATTTACAGATGCCTTTCCAATTCGAGAAATATAGTAGTGACTCTATATTTCTTTCGAGTAATATGCTCAATATGTAAAATGAGGCAATGGATATTTTAAGGAACTAAAGGCAAATGATAAATCGAAGGAAATTCCTCCCGCAAGACCTCGTCTCTGCCTGGCACGTCTCTCCCATCAAACATTTTCAACATATCCGCGTACTTGTACATGCCTTCGAGTTCGATTGCTTATTTGTGTCTACATCCTTCGGTGTGTCGACAGTGTACACAGTATTGCCGCATGCCTCTATAATACTAATACACATATACACGTGGCCAAATTTGCACGTAGACACACACATAAATGTACATATATTTGTATTTGCTCCGTATACATTTACTTGACAGGATAGTATTTGTGATCTTTTGCGCGTAATAGGGTTGTGTGTATACAAGATGTGTCGCGCTTTTAGTTCTAAAAATCAAAAGACATGTTTTTAAAATGGAAAGCGAACATAAGAGACGTTTCATTCTACTTTACTCTTTACTTTTATTTAAGTCACTTTAAATGATGTGATTGGGAAGTATTTTTCTTAAGCTATTCTATGTATTTTTAAATTCCCGATGCATGTAAAATTTTTTAAAGATATCGTTTTTTTACACACACACATATATATATAAAGAGGATATGGTAAATCATTATTAAGCTTCAAACAGAATAATAGAAAAAAATAGCAACATCTTTGTAACAAATAAAAGAGCGCCCCGGGGCAAAATGGGACACCCGGTATATCCGCGCCGGGGGTAAGGCGTATGTGTAGCCTATGTGGTGTGTGGCACAGGTCGACGGGGGTGCCGCGTTTCAGACGCCGCGTTGCGGGGCATCGATTTCGGCCCAGGCCGATGGCATCGACGGGGCGCTCCTTCGCGGGACCATCGCGACGTCGTCGTCGCGGCGGCGCTGCTGCCGCCGCCGCCGCCTCCACCACCGGCATCGTTGGTCCCAGAGGAAGAGAGAGAGAGACAGAGAGAGAGAGAGAGAGAGAGCGAAGGGAGCGAGGAGAGAGCCGCCCGCCGTCGCCGTCTCTACCTTAGCCGGCGTCCGCTCGCTCGCAGCTACGCCGACTACTAACAGTACTAACGGCGTCGTCGCCGTTCCGCTCGACGCACGCCGACGCCGATGCCGACGCCGACGCCGACGCCGCCTGCGCGCGAGGTCGCGCCGCGTCGTGCCGAAGTGAGCCGACACGACACGGACGGGCGAGCAGCAGACACACACTTACGGCAGTCGAGGGCAGTCGTGAGGCTGCCCGTCGTGCGTGGTGCTGCTTAGTAGCTGGCCGTGTACTAGAGAGCTTCGCCACTGCCTGGCCTGCTGGCAGCCGGCGCGTTATCCCCCAGTCAGTGGAGCGAGAGAGCCACGGCAGTGCGGGAGCGAGAGTTCACGGTGACGGATCGGTCTGCTCTTCTGCGACAGTATAACTGAGCGTAACGTGAACCGAGAGACAGAGAGAGAGAGAGAGAGAGAGAGAGAGAGAGAGATAAATAGAGAACGGACCTCTACGCGAAGAAAGACTCTAGCCAAAGGGGTTGGCTTATCTATCTAGGCCGTCGTGAAAGGGTTGCGACGTCGCAAACTATATTTTAATATGCGAGTAAGGGAATAGATCGGTTAGATCTTTTATATCGGGTAGACGATTGCTAGACGACCGATTGTCCGCTGTCCGAATAAATACGCGGGACCACCGTGCACGAGCGAAGCGCAGTTGCTCGATGCATCGGTGCACCACCAGCTGCAGCTGTCACCGCCGCTACTACCGCCTTTACGGTGCTACCACTACCACCGGTACTGCTACCGCCGCTGTTGCCGCCGCCGCCGCCGCCGCCGCCGCCGCCGCTATCGCTGGCAAGACCTCACAGAGATGTCCACCTCGTGGCAGCCGACACTTCCTACCGGACGGTGGTAGTGTCCGGGCGCGCTGGTCGACGCACGAGTTGCGGTAGTCAATCGTTAGTTTTTCGACGACAGGAGTGGCGAAGGAAGGTGTTCGATGACGCTTGGTGGTCGTTCCCCATAGTGCGAGCAAAGGTGGTCGTCCAGTCTCGCATAGAGAAGGCAAGGGGATAAAAGACGGCTGTAAAAGAGAAAGAGAGGGTGTAGAAGAAGATAGGGATAGAGACAATCGAACCCTTCTTTCTTTCTTTCCGCGCTCGACGCGTGTCATCGCTAATACACAACGCGCGCTTTCGCTTAGAGGGCTTCTTCCCTCCGATTCCTCGAGGCCTTCATCGTTATCACGCGCGTCGCGATATACTGCGTGACACTCCGCGACGTGTGTCACGTGAAGAGAGTAGCGGCGCGTCGTTCACGGGTCGTCGTCCTGACGTCGAACAAAACGGAGCGCGTTCTCGCGAAACGGACTATTCGTACTATATCCAAATCTCATTACCGCTATATCAATTTTGTGAAAGGTATTCCGTAAAGATAATTCAACTGTGACGAGATACCATCGGCTGACAAGAGAGAGAGAGAGACCGAAGGTAGTCTGTGATTAATCGGTTGGTTGGTGCTACGTGTGCCTAGTGAGGCTGGTGGTGGCTCGGCTCGGACGGCCCAGGTCGCGGTAATGCCTCGCAGCAGCGATCGTGTCGCCAGGTCGCACGGTGTCGCAGGCGGGGTGAGGGACCGGGCCGCCGCAGGTAGTACCGGCGTGGGTGTAGTCGCGGCCACCGCGGGTAGGATACGTTGACGAGCGCAGCCGACCCCGGTGGCACGTTGCTGGCCACCGTCGTCGTCGCTGCATCCGCAGGCCATGTATCGAGGCGAGCCGGCGATCGACCGTGCCGGCAGCGGCGGCGGTAACCGCAGTGCCGGCGACCCGCGCCGGGCAAGATCGACGCGTCGACGACGCGCAACGGCGGCCGCCGACCTGCCCGAGGACGCCGACGGCGAGGAAGAACCCTACGGGGAAGGGGAGGAGGGGGAGGAGGAAGAGGACGAGGAGGAAGAGGCCTATATCGTTCTCGATGTGCAACCCCGGCGACCGTCCGACTCCACGACGAGGGTGTACCGCAATGACGATTCCT